AGGGACCACCAGGCCTGTCCTTGCAGGCCATGGGCAAGACTTTGACTTTATTTTAGGAGCACTGGAAAGCCAGACCGACATGTGGTCTGGAGTTCTCAGCATCCATGTTATTAGATTTGGGTTTTAAAACTGTCATTCTAGGTAACCTATATTTAGAAAGAGGTTATGCAGATTCAATCAAGGTGTCCATGAAACCGGATGTCCATGAAACTTCAGGTTCACGTTCCCCAGGAATCACACACAGCAATCCTCTGCTTTCCTCTGGCTGGACAAGAAGAGTGGGCAGAAACAAGAGAGGGGTGAGCATGGTGGTTAGGGATGCTAGTCCACATGTTAGGATAATCTTGTTTGAGCCCTGGGTTAGCTGATAGTTAGATGGATAGTTAATGAGCTCCTTTGTGCCTCAGTTTCCTTACCTGAAAAAATGGGAGTGATAGCCTTACCCCAGAGGCTTGGTATGTGGGTTAACTGAGTTATTTTTAAAAAATATTTTATTGATTTCAGAGAGGAAAGGAAAGGAATAGAGAGAAAGAACATTAATGATGAGAGAGAATCATTGATCAGCTGCCTCCTACACACCCTCTACTGGGGATCGACCCCGCAACCTGGTCGATCAAACCATGACTTCCTGGTTTATAGGTTGAGCTTCAACCACTGAGCGCACCGGCTGAGCTGACTGAGTTATTGTGTGCAAAGCCCGGGTGTAGTGCGTGACAGAGAGCGAGGGTCAGCAGGCATTATGACTAACAGGAAGTCCTGCTCCTGATCAGGTTTACGGCCACAGTACTTTTGAGATTCTCTCAATACAAACTTAATTTCCAAACTCAAGGTGTACCTCTCTGCTGGTCACTTCTTGGTGTCTAACCAGCTTCTCCCCAATAGGCCAGTCTCCCTTGTTAATTCTGTGGAACACAGCCACAATTAAATACAAATTTATCAAGGTTCAGAGATGGCAATGAGGAGTGGAGTCCAGGGAAGCGGGAACCAAGGCACAGATACCCCTTTCTGTGGCTTGCTGTGAAGTTTTCTAACCTGATGAAAGCAGATTTAAATGACCACCTTCACCTTCACTGCACTCAGTCATTAATGAATTCAGTAAATACTGATGCCTTACTACAAATCTACTGCTGCACTCCTTGCTAAACACCCAACAGAGCGCAGAAAGACAAACTCCCTGGGCATAGCCCCTTAAGGACTGTTTGCTGAGGTGGTGGGAGGGGCCTGGAGTAGAAAAAGGGCAGGAGATTTAAGCAGATGACAGAGCCTGAGGGGTGTGCGTGTGTGGGATAAGAATCAGGGGGGATGTCCAATATGGCTGAAGTGTCTGCCCCTCCATCTGGCCTACATGAATATGTAACATCTTGGAAACAGAGGAGCTGCTAGTTCTGGTGACTTCATTTTTCTCCCCCAACCCGTCACTGAGCGTGCAGCATGCCTTGGACTTTGGGACAGAAAATGGAATTAGAAGACTGCCTTCCAGGAGGCCCCACACTGGAAAGAAGCCTCTTCCCTGCGTATCCAGCTCCATTTAGGGCTACCTAACTGGTATCAATGTGCAAAGGAATCCAGGCAGTGGGCATCACTGGAGAAAGACTGGCTAACAGATAGGGAGGCAGGATGAACGTGAGAGTAGTTTTTTAGTGTTCACTAAAACTTCTCAAAGGTAAAATACAACTTTTTGAATAAAATCACACAATTGTTATAATTGCTGATTGACAGGTCACAGACCGTTTGGAATACTTCATTGATGTTGAAATTGCCCGCAGCAATTGCAGAAAGCTTTCAAACAGTAATGAAAACTGTGTCACTCAGGAAAACTCCAAACTGGCAAAGGTAAGTGACAAACCAACTGTCTGTGATGGTCTTGGCGACTCTTAAGCCCCAGCCAGAAGAACTTGGGGTGTCCAGACTCTCTCTTTGAGGTCTGGATGACTCCCAATATTTAGCCCCAGAAGTGGTCAACTCTGTGGCTTTTAGAGTGGAGAGTGTAGGTTTGCAGAATGTGGTGGACTTCTCTGAGACTTTCCCCACCCCTCAACCTAGGGACAGCATGCTGTCAATGTCACTCTTATTGCAAGGGCTCCATCAACTCTGGCCTCTTGGTGCAGGAAAACTTGCCCATGCATATTTATTGAAAATCTTCTCTCTTGGGCCCGGATGAGCAGTCAGCTGTGGCTTCCCCAACAGTTGCTCATCCTTGTGAAGATACAAGAGGAAATTTGTTCATTCACTCATCTACTCATCGAAGCTTACTTGTACCAGTGCTGTTCTGTGTGTTGGTGATTAAGCAGTGACTAGGCCACACAGTGTCCCCATCCCAGATTTACAGTTGATTCTTGCTAGGCTCAGTCATAGTTTCAATGAAGGTCCAATGACTCCCCCCAAAGAGCTGGGTTGGCCCAGGGACCTTTCACTTGAAGCCTGTATTTTTAATTTCAGAGGTGGGGAGAGCCCTGGATTTATCCAAGTGCTTAGTCTGAGGTTAGTGGAGGCCCCTAAGTTTTGCCTAGGAGGGGTGTCTTTGTCTCTTTCTTTATACCAATGATTCTCCACATGAGTGGGCATCAGAATTACCGGAAGGCCTTGATAAACCCACATCCCACCTGCAGAATTTCTGATTCATTGGTCTGGAATGGGGTCCAAAAATTTGCATTCTGGACAAGTTCCCAGGTCATGCTGCTTCTGGCATTGAGTCCAGGAGCTTGCAAAGGCCTGATCACCACGGACACTCCATCATGTCTGGGACTGCCTCTGTGTGCTCCACCTGAGCAAGTTTGATCATTTCCAGTTGACAGTAGATAGCCATCAGGGCACACATTTAAGCTGCGAGCGTGTCTTAATGCCATCTGATCTTTTATGCTAGTATTTTAAAAAAATCTTTTAGTAGAATTATGGTCGGTTTAAATATATTCTTTTATACTGGACTTATTGGAGTTATAGTGAAAGTTGTTGCTTTTTACCTGTTTGTAGAACATATTAAAAAGAATTAAGGAGAATTTTCCTCAAGGAGCTCACTTATTGTATCTAAAGTTTCCATGGACCTCAGGTTTTTTTTTCTTTATTGATTAAGGTATTACATATGTGTCCTTATCCCCACATTGCCAATCTCAGTTTTAAGATATATGTTTTTAAGCACGCATTTATCAACACTGAAAACTTTCTTTACAAGCCTTTGGGATAATGTTGAAGAATAACAATGCCAAACAATTGTTCTTATTCCTGCTTTAATGGAAATGTTTTCAGTACCAGCATTTATATTCTCTTATTAAATATTACATAAGTGCTACTTTCTGAAGTCTCTCCAATTCTCTCTTTATGAAGTGTTATTTTTAAAATTAAGAATATTTTCTTCTATTGATTATTCTTTCAGCATCTACCAAGTATAGTGAATTCTTTCTCTTCTTTGAACGATTAGTGTAGTAAACTGAAACAATAGATCCCCTCATATTGAGTCCTTATTCTTACATGTCTGGACTATGGTACACTTTTCTTTTTTTGTGTAGCTTTATAACTTTATTTTATTATTAGTTCTCATCCTCTTTGACTGACGATAGCTTTTTGAAAATGGTGACAGGCCCATAGATCACCAATAAATATAAATTACCTGGATAACCACACACAGATACAGTATGGGGCATTTCTTATTCCTTTGACTCAGACAGCTTTGCTGAGCCTGGAGTTGAGGGGCACATCTGGCATTTCTGTCTCTTTCACTGCAAATGTTCATCTCTCTCTGAGAGTTGGGATGGGGGAGGGTGTGCACTTCTTGAAGGTCACTCCACAGATGTGCTTGTGAACATGGATGGTGTATTCTAAGTCACCACCACGTTGACAGCAGATAGCTTCCCCTTCCCACCTCCTTTCTTTGTTGCAGCCCTTCTGCCAGCCCCCGGTTGGAAAGAGTGCAACAGATTGTGTCTGCACTCATCTGTTAGAGTGCAGTTGGGTTCAATACGCCACTTCTTTACTTAGGACTTTTGCTTTTATATAGTATATTCAGTACTCTCAAACTAGTATTAAGAACCTTTGGAGCCGAAACCGGTTTGGCTCAGTGGATAGAGCGTCGGCCTGCAGACTGAAAGGTCCCAGGTTCGATTCCGGTCAAGGGCATGTACCTGGGTTGCGGGCACATCCCCAGTGGGGAGTGTGCAGGAGGCAGCTGATCGATGTTTCTCTCTCATCGATGTTTCTAACTCTCTATCTCTCTCCCTTCCTCTCTGTAAAAAATCAATAAAATATATTTAAAAAAAAAAAAGAACCTTTGGAGAGTGAGGTGAAAACACAGACACACATGCACACACAGATGCACACACGGGCCAGTTCCATTGCTTCATTCTAAACCTATTGAATCAAAATTTCCAGGTATAGACACTCACATATACTTGATATCACTGGGAAAGCCTCAGAGGCACTGCTTTAGAACTGTCTAAAACTCGGCAGCCTCGAGCTAGCAGTAATGTTTAACTAGCTAGTATTTTTAAAATCCCGTTTATTGATTTTAGAGAGATAGGAACGGGGGGGGGGGGGGGGGAAATGAGAGACCACACACCTGGATGTGAGAGAGAAATATGGATCTGCTGCCCCCCCGTGCACCCTTGGAATTGAACCTGAACCTTTCTGAATACAGGATGACACTCCAACCAACTGAGCCACCTGTCCAGGGCACTGGTATTTTAAAAAATAATTTTTGTTCTATTTACTAGGACAAACACTTAAGCAGTAAGAATGCCTTAATGCCATTTTTGAAGTTCCTTGGTAATACTGCTGCTGCAGGCCCTGGGACCAGCCGTCCAGCTTATGATTTGGTCTCGGGGTTTCTCTTGTCTGGTATAATAAGAACGGAGGCTTTTCATCTGTTTCTGTGTTCTGAATCCATTTAAAAACAAAGGGAGCTTTTGGTTGCCAAGCTGATATAATTCCCCTGCAAAGCCATCTTGATCTGGTATTGTCTGTGGGCCTGCGGGGCAAGAAGCTCCATTGTCCTTCTCTGTAGGTGTCTGATACTCAGCAGAGATCAACTCCTGACTCCATTCTCTCTGACTCTGTTTGCCTCAGAGCTCCTGGAAGTACCTTCTTGTTGCAGTCAATTATTTAAATGCCCTTTGCTGCTTTCCAGGACTTCTATCTATATCTATCTATCTATCTATCTATCTATCTATCTATCTACCTACCTACCTACCTATCATCTATCTATCAATCATCTACTTATCTATCATCTATATAATTATCTATCTATCTACCTATCATCTAATTATCTATCTATATCTATCCATGAATGTATTCCTCTATCTACCCATTCATGCATCCCTCTACCCATTTATCCATCCATCCACCTATTCGGCCCTTTATTTGCCCATTCATCATCTATCCTACACAATAGAATATTTTATTTCAAAGGTATTTTTTAATCCTGTTTATTGATTTTAATACTAAACAAGAGAGAAGGGCTCTATAAAACGAAAGTCAGGTTAGGCCCTAGAATCTTCTAAATTGCTCTTATTCTGACTTATTTGTTATCAGAACAAAAGGCATTATTTAATTATTAATACAACATACGTTGGTTCATATCTGGCATAGCATTGCTTTATTTACATTGTAGAATATATTTATAGAGAATTAAAAATAAAATGAAGTTGACATCTGATCTCCCACCAAAATATGGTGATTGTTCAATTTGCGATCTAATGGTTGGTGTGGAAACAGAGAATCCTCTGGGGCCATCAGCATTTGCTAATCATTATGAAGGTTTGCAGCATCCAGCTAGCAGGCTCCTGGGAGCATTTCAGCTAGCAGGTTCCTGGGAACATTTCTTGATGGCTGATAACCGTCTTCCAGCATGTGTCTAAGCTGGTACCTTGTGGGGCACTACTGATTGTTTGTGGTGATGGTCTCTTTCAGAAAATGACGTGCAGCTTTATAGTTGGAGCACTCCCCTGGAACGCCGAGTTCACCGTGATGAAGATGCAGTGTGCAGACCTCTAGGGCTTCTGGAGGGCACCCCACTGTCTCCGCCTTGCTCTGTGAACAGAACTGGGAGAAACATGCTTTCCTCATGCACGCCTCTCTGCTTGCCATTTTGTTTTCAGTTTCATAGTATGTGGTAACGAAAGATGGGCCTGTCCAATTCCTCCTTCCTGGCCGCAGTGGGGCCCCTTGCCTTTCGCCAGCCTGATGGTCCACCACCAGGAATATGCTTATCACTGGTTACAAAGGATGGAGTGAGATCTGATTCTGCCCCCCTCTGCAAGTCTGGGGAGGAATCAGTTTTGATTGGGTAACAGCCCCTTATAGAGGTAGGAACCCAGTGGGTGCTAACTCAACATGCTCCTTTTGGAAGCCTCTTTTGCCTGGGGCTCCTTTCCTTTCCCTTCCCCCCAGGGTCCTGAGTGAATGGAGTTTTAAATTGTTAGTTGTAAGGTCACTTTAATTTCAGAGCTGACACAGAGTTTGATTCTTGCGACTTCAAATAAGATCAGGGACAATGCTCTTGCCCAAAGAGCAGAAAGTTTTGGACGGGATGACATGGAGGGTTTGAGTCTGGCAGTTCTCTCGCTTTTATCTAGAACAAGGGCACATCTGCAGCATGCACCCTCCCATCATGTGAACAGGAATGTGAATCTGTGGGCCACTCTCAGATTACAGGAGGGCAATGACCTTGTCCCCTACCCCAACAGCCCCCCACCTTGGACACTACAGGCAGGTCTCTGGAGCTTTCTAACACAGAAGGTGTACCCCAATAAGTGCACATGTGTAGGTGATCAGCTTGCTTTGCCTTCAGAAACCTGTCTGCCTCTCCCTGCCAAGAACTTGGGCTCTACACTCAGCCCCTCACTGCACAAGGAAGCTCATTGGAAGCCCTTTCTGCAAGTATTCACTCAGCCTCAGTTCTTTGCCGTGGGAAAAGAACAGGACAATGGGGCTGTGCCCATTGCCAACATGAGGAAGTTGATCTGTGGTGAAACTAGCTTCAACTTGCTGAGTGTTAGAGCAAATTTTACCCCTAAGGGAAGCCTCTGAGCCAGGCTACAGATCGGAGAATTGGTTAAAAGTCCTGGGGCTCAACCTCCCACTCTTCCTCCTCATAAAGAAAAACACAAATTATTAATATTAGGAGTGAAACAGAGAATATTACTACAGACACAATCATGAAAAGGATAATAAGGAAATATAGTTGACTCTTGAACAACATGGTGACCATTTGCACAGTTAGAAATACGCTTATAACTTTTCACTCCCTCCAAACTACTAATAACCTACTGTTGACTGGAAGCCTTACCAATAACATAAAGCTGAATAATATATTATGTACGTTCCCCTCTGTCTTGTTTATACCCCAGCAACAGCCACCTTCCCACAATTGCAGTATTCCAATAGCCCTTTATTGAGCACCCAACCTCCACCACTCTTGATGTTCTTCAGTCCATCATCTACCATCATACACAGAATCACATTATAAAATTAGAAATCAGCCCAGCCAGTGTTGCTCAGTGTTGAGCATCAACCTATGAACCAGGAAGTTCAATTCCCAGTCAGGGCATATGTCTGGGTTTCGGGCTTGATCTTCACTAGGGAGCATGCAGGAGGCAGCCAATTGATGTTTCTCATCTATATTTCCATCTCTCTCTTCCTCTCCCTTCCTCTCTGAAATCAATAAAAATATATTTTAAAAATAAAATAAAATAAAAATTAGAAATCTGACAATGCCAGTCCTCTAGACCTTCATGTTTAAGCAGCTGCTTTTTAGTTTTCAACTTTTTGGGTCACCAATGGGCAAAGTATGGTTGTGAGAGGAGGGACAGATGAGGACATGAATAAAAGATGGTGGGACATGACTGTAAAGGAGGTGATGGAAAAGGCAGGCCTGCATAGTATTCCATTGTGTGACTGCACCACAGCTTTTTAGCCACTCATCTATGTTAGGTCGGAGAGAGCCCAGGATCGGATACATGTAGACGTGTGCTGAGATAATGGACTCTCCCTGGAATTTCTCACAGATCAACGTACCAGACACAGATACCGGCTTCTTCTCCCTGAATCCACATACCCCCACAAAGACACTGACTCCTTCCTGAATACCTTGCTGACCCCCCTGCAGCTGAAGCTTCCTCAACTGAATACCTCAGCTCATGTCCCCGCCCCTCACCCAACCGCAGTATAAAAAAAGCACCCCCCCCCCCCCCCCGGTGGGGGGAAACCCCCGGCCCTGGCTTTGGGGGACGGGGGGCCCCCGGGGGCGCAAAAAAAAAACTTTTTCTTTTCTTTTTCTGATTCACTGGACTGTCTTTATTTCCTATGCCGCCTCCTGAGCCACCTAACCTAACAATCTACAGATGGGTTCTTGGGCTGTTTCCAGATTTTAGCTGTTGTAAATAATGCTGCTATGGACATAGGGGTGCATATATTCTTTCTGAGTAGTGTTTCAGGTTTCTTAGGATATATTCCTAGAAGTGGGATCACTGGGTCAAATGGCAGTTCCATTTTGATTTTTTTTTTTTTTAGTAAATTCCATATTGTTTTCTATAGGGGCTACAGCAATCTGCATTCCTACCAGCAGTGTACTAGCCTTCCATTTTCTCCACATTTTCGTCAGCACTTAAGTTGTTTGTTGATTCACTGATGATAGACATTCTGGCAGGTGTGTGGAGATATCTCATTGTAGTTTTAATTTGTATCTCCCTGATGATTAGTGATGTTGAACATTTTTGAAAAAAAGAAGAATTTCTTACCTTTTTCAACAACATGGACCCGGAGAATATTATGCTGGGTGAAAGAAGCTAGTCAGAGAAAGACAAATATTACATGATCTCCCTTATAAGTGGAATCTAATTAACATAATAAACTGACAAACAAATAGGTCCAGAGACATGGAGGCATGGAACAGACTGACAGATCTCAGATAGAAGGGGGGCTGGGAAGAGATTAATCAAAGAACTCATATACATACATGCATAACCAATGGATACACACAATAATGTGGTGAAGGCCTGGGGTGGGGTAGGGGCTGGGAGGAGGGTGGTGAAGGTGGGGATTGGGGAACGTCTGTAATACTGTCAATAATAAAATAAATTTAAAAAATTAATAAAAGGCAGGGCTGCAAACATTCTACAGAGAGAAGTTCAGAATGAACTCTTGGGAACTGATGAATCAGAAATAGAGGTTTATTTATATTTGTTAAACTTATTTTAAAAAACCTAGTAGAATGTCTATCTAGCTATCCATCCATCCATCCATCCATTCCTCTAAACATGAAGAAGAAGAAGAAGAAGAAGAAGAAGAAGAAGAAGAAGAAGAAGAAGAAGAAGAAAAGAAAAAGAAAGAAAGAAAGAAAGAAAGAAAGAAAGAAAGAAAGAAAGAAAGAAAGAAAGAAAGAAAGAAAGAAAGAAAGAAAGAAAGAAAGAAAGAAGGAAGGAAGGAAGGAAGGAAGGAAGGAAGGAAGGAAGGAAGGAAGGAAGAAAGAAAGAAAGAAAGAAAGAAAGAAAGAAAGAAGAAAGAAAGAAAGAAAGAAAGAAAGAAAGAAAAAGAAAGAAAGAAAGAAACTAAGAGATTGAGCATTACAGAAATAATTAACTTAATGACATTCCTGAGTAATTTCATTCCTCAGGCATAAGCCTATGAATGGTTCAAAATCTCCAGATTTTCTTTTATTTGAGCTTAATAAACCATTATCTTTATTCTTAACAAGTCAAAATCTTTCTCTGCTTAGTATTTTACAACTTGCTTATCACATTTATATAGAGGACACAGCTTTCCTTGTCAGTACATGCACATATTTTTGTTGCTTTTAAAAGTCTCATTTCATGGACATTACATATCTTATTTAATAGTCTACTTTGATACATATTTGGGCTAGTTTCTTTTACTGTTTTTTTGTGACAGTAAATAATTTTTCAGTCAGTTTTGTACACATGGGCAAATATTTCTGTGGGATGCAATCCTAGAGGCAGAACATCGTGTAAAGGAATGTGTAACTTTTAACTGTTCAACAGAGACTGCTTAGTCATTGTGAACAGAGTGAATTCCCACGCTGCCGATGTTGATGAAAGAACCTTATTTAGAAAGCATTGTTATTGTATTTTATTTTTTCCCAATATGTAGGAGAATAGTGATATTTTATTGTTGGGTTAATTTGAATTTTTATTGTTGAGGAGCTTACTAGTAAGCATATTTTTACATGTGTATTAGAGACATTTATTTTTTGTGTGATTTGTGTATTTGTGACTTTTATGTATGTTACCTATTGGATTTTGTCTTTTTACAAAAATAATTACTTGTAATGGCTCTTTGATATTACGGAAATTAAAGTTTTCTGTGTCAGATTTGTCAAATTCTTTTTTTAAAAATATATCTTATTGATTTTTTACAGAGAGGAAGGGAGAGGGATAGAGAGTTAGAAACATTGATGAGAGAGAAACATCGATCAGCTGCCTCCTGCACACTCCCCACTGGGGATGTGCCCACAACCAAGGTACATGCCCTTGACCAGAATCGAACCTGGGACCCTTGAGTCAACCAAACCAGTTAGGGCAGATTTGTCAAATTCTTACCACTTGTCAAATTCTTACCACTTGTCTCACTTCACACCCAACAGGATGACTATAAAAAAGACAGATAATGCACTGGCCAGTGTGGCTCTGTACTGAAGGGTTGCTGGTTTGGTTCCTGGTCAGCCCACATGCCCAGGTTTTGGGCTTGATACCCGGTGGGGGGTGTGAAGGAGATGGCCAATCAACGTTCCCTCTTGCATTGATGTTTCTCTCTCCCTTCCTCTTTTTTTTAAAAAAAGACAGATAATAATTAATGTTGTCAAGGAAGCAGAGAAATTTGAATCCTTATACGTGGCTGATGGGAATATAAAACAGTAGATCCACCTTGGAAAACCATCCAGTAGTTCTTTAAAAAGTTAAACTTAGAATTATACAATTACCATGTAAGCCAATAACTCCACTTTAAGAGAAATAATCCTCAAGAGAAATAAAAGCATATGACCACACAAAAGCTTAAACGTGAATGCTCACAGCAGTATTATTCATAATAGCCAAAAAGTGGAAACAACCCCAATGTCCACCAATTGCTGAATGAATCAATTCAATATGTAATTTAAACAATGGAATAGTACTCAGCAATAAAAGGAAATTAAGTAGCAATGAATGCTACAACATGGATGAACCTTGAAAACATGCCAGCCTGGTTGATGCCAGCTGACACCTTATGGTATTTCGGGTAACGGCTTCTGCCAGCTGTGGGCCCACAGCTCCTTGGCCCAGGCACCACCAGGGACCTCTCCTCCCTAGGCCTCTCAGTCCCAGACTCCCTGAGACTGGCTGTTTGGTGCCTCTTCCTGTCTCTAAGCCCATGAAATCACGTACCAGGACCCTGAAATAAATGGCTGTGGAGGTGCTTTCTGTTCCAAATGGTTTAGTCTAAAGCCCAGAAATGTAGAAGGTTAGGAGGCATAGAATAAGAGTGAGGACTTCTGCACGGTGAAGGGGGGCGGGGATGTGATGGCTGTTGGTGAGCCTGTGAACTGCCGGGTGAGGGACCCTGTCAGAGGTGCTGCTCACTTGAGCTACATCAGAGGGGCTGGCTTACCTCACAAAGGGCCATGGCTGTGACCACCTGGCTGGGGAGTATATCCAGAGGACAGAGGCAGCCCTGAGCTCAGGTCCCACTGACACCCTGACCAGGCACAGGCATGAACTAAGCGTGCTGGGGACCCAGGGTGCCACAAGGGAGGGACTGGTCAGAGCTCAAGTCCCCAGGAAGGAGAAAGATACCACCGTGGTCAGGGCCCTCAGCTCCAGGCTCAGCGAGCAGGAAACTGGTGGAGGACTTGGTTCTGAGGTGGGTCTGGGGTAAAGAGGTACCGAGTGGGAGGTGACAGGAATGCTAGGGTGGCTTCCACGTATGCTCCAGGCCACTTATTTCAGGGTCACAGAGCAGAACAGGCCAAAGTTTGCTGCTCACATGGCATGGGTTACCAAATTAGTGTAAACCATTGACCAAGAAGCAAGGCAATGAGAAGGAGCAGGTTGAAATGCTTAAGATACGCGGCCGGTGGGGCAGACGTGGAGCCTGGGCCAGGCATGTTCTCTGTGGCATCAGCCTCCTGCGGGCGAGTCTGCTTTGCCCTCGCACAGCTGGGCACACTGAGTGGCCTTCCGCACAGCCCAGGATTCGGTTTACGTTTTCTGGGGAGAGGATACATGGGGCCAGAATGACATCACCAGTGGGCAGCAAATGAAGACTTTCTGAGTATTGTGTGCTGCGTGTATCGCATGTGCACTTACTATCTGATGAGGGGAGATGCAGAGCATAGTTTTGAGGCCTGTACAATGACTTTCATATATGCTCCTGGGAAGGAAACAATAAGAGAAGCTTTGGGACCTGTCTTCTCCCCATGACAGCGCATCTGCTGCAGGTCCTCATGGCCATCTGCGCACACAGACTTGACACAGTGAGGCACCTTCACTGGATACACAGGGACCTTGCAGATAAGGCAGCAGGGGTCGTCGGGCAGGGAAGAAAGGTGTGGGGTGTGTGTGTGTGTGTGTGTGTGTGTGTGTGTGTACGTGCTTCCATGTGTGAGTGCATAGAGGTATGCATCCTTCCAGAAAGAAAAGAGCTAAGACAGGAAAATGGACAGATTGTGATCGCAGATTTCTCCCATGGTTTCTGTCTGGGGAAGAAGAGAGAGAACCCACAAATAGCAATGTTTACAGAGATTCTTTCCTTTTCATCCCAGTCTGGTCCACCCCCAGCCCTGGAAGGACAGAGGGAGCTAGCCTGAGCTCCCTTGGCCGAGGTGCCATGGCCAGACTCTACCCAAGCCTACTGCTCCTGGTGGCCAATATGGTTCTTGTATCCAGAGATATTCGCACCTGGGGCTGGAAGAACGTGGTGAGGGAATTCAAAGACATCCCAGAAAGCTATGTCTATGTGCAGCAGGCACTGTGGTTTGCCATGAAGGAGTATAACAAGGCCAGCAAAGACAAGTACACTTTCAAGGTGGTGAAAGTGCTGAAGTCCCAGGAGCAGGTTGGTGGGCATTTGCTCCTCAGTTCTCTGCATGTCTGTGGTTGTGGTGGGGCCATTGTGTATGAATGGAAAGCAGCTCAGAGATAGATGCCTTTAGCCAAATATATTAATTTTATTTTAGGGGTTCTTAGAAGAAAATTAATTGTAATGTATCCTTTACTATTCTGAAATAGAAATAGAAAATATCCATTATGGTAACTTAAAATTGATGATAATCACATCATAAAACATAGGTAATAGCCCAGAAGGGCTCTTAAAGAGACCAAGTTTGGGAAAATTTGGCTAATATCAAAATGAGTGAGACAGGGATTAATTATTATATGGCGAATAAGCAAAGAAACTGCAGGTCTAGTTTTCACTGATAAAGAGAATCAGGGCAGAGAAGAGAAGGCTTTTCTTTACACAAGAATGCCTACTTATAGCCAGTTTTTCTCAGTGGTTAGAGCATTGGCCCACAGACTGAAGGGTCAAAGGTTCGATTCCAGTCAAGGGCATGTACCTTGGTTGCAGGCTCAATCCCTGGCCCTGATCGGGGCATGTGCAGAAGGCAACCAATTGATGTGCCTATTTCATATCGATGTTTTCCTGTCTCTGTCTCTGTCTCTCCCTTCCACTCTCTAAAAATCAACTGGAAAAAATATCCTCAGGTGAGGATTTTAAAAAAAATAATGTCTACTTACAGATGTAACTAAAAGATCACCTTTTGCAATGACCATGGTAATCACTAACTCAGGAAAAAGATCATCAATAAATTCTACAACCATTGGGTGAGAGAGAGCTGGAGAACAAATTTCTTAATTAATTATAATGGAGAAAAGATACATTTTCTGGTGAACACTTCACTCCACAAATGTACCAACACTGGGGAAATTGAAATCATGTGCCCTGATGTGATATCCCTGAAAGGACACAACATCAACATCACCTGTTTATGTTATTCTTACACACACAAAAAGCATACCCTGAACTGTCATGAGGAACAATTAAAAAAATCCATATTATGGGACATTCCATAAGTTCACTTAACAATATCTACATCACCCTGCCTGGTGTGGCTCAGTTGGTTGGCATCCTTCCATGCACCAGGGGTAGGGGTGAATGGGGGTGGTGGTGGTGGTGCCAGTTTGATCTCCCATTGGGACACATGCCCCGGGGGGAGCTCGATCCCCAGTGGGGGACATATGGGAGGCAGCTGATGGATGTTCTGCTCTCACATAGATGTTTCTCTTTCTCTCTACCTCTCCCTTTCTCTTTCTAAAAATCAATAAAAATATTTTAAAAAATCTTTAAGAAAAAATTTTTGTTTAAAGAGATCAATGTCATGAAAGACAGGGGGAAAAGTAGGGACCCTATTCTCAATTAAAAGAGGTTTAAGAAACATGACAATAAATGTAATGTGTGGTCCTGTATTATCTCTTGGATTAAAAAAATGATAAAGGCCCAGTTGGGTGTGACTCAGTGGTTGAGCGTCGACCCAGGAACCAAGAGGTCACCGGTTTGAATCCTGGTCAAGGCACATGCCCGGGGTGTGGGCTTGATCTCCAGTAGGGGGCATTCAGGAGGCAGCCGATCAATGATTCTCTGTCATCATTGATGTTTCTATCTCTCTCTCCCTCTCCCTTCCTCTCTGAAATCAATAAAAATATTTTTTTAAAAAAATATAAAGAATGTTATTAGGGCAATTGAAGGAATTTGAATATAGATTATATCATAGAAGCAAGCATTGAACTAATTAGTATTTCCTAAGAAAGGTAACTGTGCTGTGGTAATGTAAGAGAGATCAAGATAAGGCTGGTGGCCAGTTGGGGGCTGTTGAGTGTGATTTAAATCGGCCTGTTTTTATGATTTGGAAACATTCCTCAAATATAAAGCAATCGTTCTCAGCTGGGTATGGATTTGGGTTGGCAGGGGAATTTGGCAATAACTGGAGACATTTTTGCTCATCACAACTGAAGGGCCAGCTATTCACATCCAGTGGGTGGAGGCCAGGGATGCTGCTGCTAAACACCCTCCAGTGCAAAGGAACTACCCCACCCCCGAGAGTGAGGGCTGAGGTTGAGAAACATGATATGTAGTCATAATAAAGTTCTAGGAGTACATATGTTTGGAAGTTGTTGAGTTAAAAAATGAAAGTGAACACTCCATTTCTCGCATTTCCAGTCTGACTCAGCATTCCTGCGGGCACCAGCAGAAATGGTTTGCTCTGTCCCTCCAGACATATTCTATCCACTTCCTGACTACTTTCCCATTTTCCAATGTGGTCAGGACTGAAGATGAATTCAGCGGCCCTACTGAAAACAAAGATAGGCATGAAATCACACTTAGAATTCTGCCTACCGCACCCATTTGGTTCAATGCCCAGGCAATTTATCTAGAATTTGCTATATTTTCTGAATTAACGCTTATTCTTCTGGAGTAAGTTATTGTGTTTAACTTGGCCATTCTCTTTTACATGCTCTCTCCCCTAAATCTTGTAAAACTTGTTATCTTCTCATTCCTTTTTTAATGATAAAAATCTACATTTACCATTGTGTGGCTCCAGGTCCTCACAAGGCCCTCCTGAATAGAGGGCAATGGTGGGCTCTGCACAGATGAAGGTGCCTAGGAATTCAGGAATCTGGGAGGGTATATCATAGGGGATAAAGTGTGTATTGTCAAAATAGCCAAAGCATGGAAGGCTTTGGCGAGAAGCAATACACTCTAAGTATATTTCAGTTCTGGGATGTCTTTTCTATTGACTAGGCATGAAGATGCTATAACCTCTGTTGTCTTCATCCCAAACTGCAATAAAGTTGTATTGAGAATATTTTCTTGTTTTATCTTGGGACAATTGTTGCTACTTGAGAGAGAGAGAGAGAGAGAGAGAGAGAGAGAGATCAAAATAAGAACCCTCTCTCCCAATTATTCCAAAACTTCTGGCAAGGAAACTAGGAGAGAGGGTCATTGACCCTAAGTAGACAAGTTTATTTATCAGAGATAACTATTAATGCTATGCATTATTTTATGATATCTAATTTTTAAGTTATTCATTGGCAGGTCACAGATAGTTTGGACTACTTTCTTGAAGTCAAAATTGGCCGAACAATGTGCAAGAAAGCTTTAGGAGACAATGAAAACTGCTTATTACAACAGGATCCTGAAATGCAAAAGGTACGTGACTGAGACGGGGAGGAGTGATGGCCATGGTTTGGTTTGTGACCCAGACAGACAAAACTGATAGAACCAACCCCGTTTCGATTTTCAAGTTTCCTTTTTAAACCATATTCAGAACTGAGGATGGCCAGGTTCTAGATATAGAGCACTGTTTTTATTATGTTGTGCTGATACCACCTTCCCCTCACTACACACACACACACACACACACACACACACTCACTCACTCACTCACTCACATACACACTCAGTGGCTTAAAGCAACACCAAGCCATTGCTTTTCATTCTGCAATCTGGGCTGGGTTCTGCTCCCTGTGCTGTGAGCTGGGGTAAGAATGTTCCAGACGTCGGCTCTACTTACGTGGCTGGTGTCTCAGCTTTGTATTTGATGCAACTTCAATTCTATTTGATGCTGCCATTCCCTACTGATGTCATGCAGGTGTCCCTACTTTGTTTTTATTCTAACTGAATAACACTTTTAGGAGAGAGAGGAGGGACACAAGACAACTCATCCCACACCCCATGTGCCCTGACCTGGAATCGAACCCATAACCTTTTGGTTCCTGGGTGAGCCTGAAGCCCTGCTCATTCTGCAGGCCCTGGAAAGAGCGCTATGTGTCTCTTCCCAGCTTCCAGACTGAAAGCTTTCTTGGTGGTATCTGTCCAGGCTTTGAACCCCCACCCCGCCCCAAGGGAATGCAGGATCCTGCACTATTCTTTGCGGGTTGCCTCCCCTGGAAGGACCCACTGGGCACTCCATGCAGTATGGGGTCTCCGAGGGCTGCAGGGAAGCTGGCCCGGCTAGATGAAAAGCAGAGCTGGAAGTGAGGATTTCTGAGGATAGCCGGTTCTCGGGCCACCCTGGAGCAAACAGAGCCATGTCCATGATGGTTTCAGATCACAGGAAAGTGAATTGGCAGGAGCCCATCCAGCTGAGAGAGGCTGGCTCCGCACATCATAAAACAGGACTTAAAAAATATATATTTTTTCTTTCTTAAAGCTGATTATTCTTTTTGTCTCTTTTAGATGCTTCATTGCACCTTTATTGTTCTAACCAAGCCCTGGTTATTTGAACTCACTCTGCAGAAGAAACATTGCAAAGATATCTAATTGTCTTCTAGTACATTCTGCCAGTCTCACTTTCATTTAAAGAAGCAACAACATCTGCAAAATATTTAAATAACACAGCTGGCCCACTGACTTCATTTTTGTGGGCTTTTTGCTTTTGTGTGTGTGTTTCTCAAGGGCTGATGGTGGGAACGTGATGCCTTTTTATTCATCCGCTGGCAGGGACAATCTTCTACTGAGAATTGGAGAGAGTGTGAACTTGTCTCCATATTTTACCCAACTCTGAGCACAAGTTACTTTTCACTGACAGCCTTACAAAGAACTAAACGAAGAGCCCATTACAAAGAACTAAACGGAGAACCCAGTTGTCAATCTGGTGGGTAGTTTTAAGGGTGCCCTCATGGATTCATCCATGGATTTCCACAGAAACCTTCCTGCTTAGAACTTCTGGGAAGACACAGCCCAATGGCTTAGAAACAGTTTTAAACTCCAGATCAACCTGGGAAATCACTGGATCATTTGGAGATTTATATTTTACTTTTGGTTTTGAAGTGAGGGAGAAAAAATGCATGAGTGATGGTGAATGGAGAGTAGGTTGCATTTGTGTGTGTGTCTGTGTGTGTGTGTCTGTGTGTGTGTGTCTGTGTGTGTGTGCGTGCACACGGTAGGATACATTATCTAATGTTATATGACTATTATGTTATCTAATAACCCTGCGTTTAGTGGCTTAACCAGTTTTCTTATGTCTCTCACTGTGTCTGTGGGTCAGGTGTCTGTGGGTGG